CATATGTATGCAAATTGGGTCTACTGATTGGTTTTAGGGGTTGTAATAATTCTTCCCATCTCTCATATCCTACTACTGATTGTTCACATAAAGTGATTGGGAGCAGAGGTCTCATATCCTACTCCTGATTGTTCACATAAAGTGATTGGGAGCAGAGGGTCCAAATTGGAAGAATTAAGTTCCAGTGGATGGGACATACAGTCCGATGATGTGTCATGGAAAGTCCCAAGATATAGAGTGAAAATCAAAGAGCGATTCAAAAGGGTTATGAGGTTGAGTTTGAATTGATCATGAATTTTCAAAGGATAAATTAGAGAAACTTGATTTGACTAACAAAAGTAGAAGGATTAAGGATAAAGTCAAGTAGAAATGAATTTCAAATGAGAAATGAAACCCTAAACTCTACAAAGAATTTTATGGCAGTCGAATGAGACTTTGTTAGTAAAGTCCATGGTAAGGATGCTTATGGTTTTTCATCATCCTTGAAACATTAACCAACCTCATAACTAGGAATCCCCCGTAAATATCGGAGCATGGGGATTCATATTTTCAAAGAAGTTTGAAATATCCTCGTCAGCAATCATGAGTTACATCATTCTATGGTGTTCCTTCCACTCTTAAGGGGTAGGTTTGTTGTATTTTATGTCACATTCCTTAGCACTGATTAGGTACTTAGACTAATTTAGGCATATATTTTCAAACTAACCAGGGGTAAGTGTGTGGCCCTTGGTTTGGTGTTTAATTTAGCTAACCTAAGGTTCATGTCAGATCTACATAGGTTTTGTTCTTGTTCATTATCTTGATGTGTTTTAGATGTTTTTTTGAAGTTTAATATTTTAATTCTTCTCTTTTTGCAATCCCAAGATTTGTTAGTCATGTTGAGAAATTAGGGTTTTTAAGTTTGAGTTTGTTTTATTTGAAGTTTAATTTTTAGTGTTTATGGGTGAAATCATTTTGTGAGAGGTTTTCACCCTTATTATTGTTTTATGTAATTTATTTTTGTTATTTTTATTTATTTTTTATCATGACACATGCAATATTAAAATAAAACATGCACAAGTCTTGGATTAGACTTGGGCTAGGGTGGATTTGATGTAAACTGAATTTCTAGTTTAGATTACTTCAAGATCGAGCTAAGGTATGTTTTAGGTCAGCTGATTTGGTCCTAATTCAGACGTAGGCTGATTTGAGTTAATTTGGGTTGGATTTAAGTTGGATTAACCAAAAATGATCTGGGTTGACAAGAATTAGTTGGATTGATTTGAATTTTCTTAGTTTTAATCTTTATTTTATTCAGGTTAAGTTGGATTTAGTCGAGTTGGCCTTAGTTTAATATGGGTTTGACCCTAGTTAAGCTGGGTTGACTCAATTTGATTTAGCTTGACTTGGGTTAAGTTGGGTTGACCTAAGTTGGTTTAGGTTTAAGGTGAGTTAGGTCTAGGTTGGGTCAGACCTAGGTTATGTTTAGGTTTTGGGTTAGACCTAAGTTAAATTAGGACTAAGGTTGGGTTTGGTTTAGAATTAGGTTGGTTAGGTCTAATGTTGGGTTTGGGTAAGACCTAAGTTTGTTTAGGTCTAAGGTTGGGTTAGCGTTAGACCTAGGTTGAGTTAGGTCTAAGGTTAAGCTTATGTTAGGTTAGAACAATATTGGGTTGTGTGTAATGTTGGGTTTGGGTTTGACCTAAGTTACGTTAACTCTAGGGTTGAGTTTAGGTTACGTTAGACCTAGGTGTAGCTATGTCAAAGTTTAAGTTTGGGTTCAACCTAGGTGGTTCTATGTTTAATGTTTAGGTTAAAACTAGGCTAAGTTAGGTGTAGGGTTGACTTAGATTTTGGCATTTATTTTAGATTTAGGTTTAAGATAGGTTTTAGTTTAGATCCAACGTTTAGTTTAGGGTTTAAGTTAGATTATAGATTTGGTTTTGGAATTTGATTAGTTTTTAGGGTTGAGCTATGTTAGAGTAGGCTTAGATGGGTTAACGTTTGGTTGGGTTATGGTTGATCTGAGTGGAGCCCATACCTAAGCTTAATCAAAGGCTATTAAGTTGAACAAACTCAATCTTAACTCAATGCAAAAAAGGAATAAGAACAGATGGAGAAGGAATTTAGCAGGGAGAAAGTTGATCGGAGGAGGAGGCTCACGAGAAAATCCCTTCTTCATCCTCTACAATCGAATGTGAGCATAAAGAGTAGTGGGTAAGTGTTTGTGTTCTGAAGTGTGTCAAAGATAACTTATTCATAGACTAACTAAGGCACTGACAGAGGGTTCCTAATTGTTTGATTTTTTGGTGCATCGATGACAATGATGAACCAGACTGTTAGTTAGCCACAGATTGCCACTTGCAAAACAACATGATGTTTTGTGCTCTGGTTCATGGATGAAGGTCACAGATCACTGTTGTGTTAAGCGAAGTGGCCACACGGAGGTGTCACTCCATTTATACCTAGGAGTGGTCATGCCCAGGCCTAGGGAGACCACATTGAGGAACTTTTAGGCTTGGTCAAGCCTAGGCTACGAGTGACCACACCGAGGAACTTTTGGGCATGACCACGCCTCCGCCTGGAGTGACCAGGCGTAGGCCTAACGCGACCACGTCAGGCCAAAGTAATTTGATAGGTTCACTTTGGCACATCTGGTTACACCAAACCCAGGGTGATGCATATCCAAGCCCTATGTGACAAAAAATGAGGTCAACAAAGAAGAATACATTTACCTTTTTCAAAGATTTTTAGGATGCATCTATCTCAAATACAAGTGAGCTGGAGGATAGCCCATGTCACTATTATCATGAAGAGCGGGATAAGATCCATCTTTTTAGGGTGGATGATTCTTGAGGAGATTGTCAACATGCCATCTAGTTGTATTTGCATTTAGACTAAGTAATGATGTGGCCACTACACCCCCTCGATTTAGTTGTAATGGATGGTTGTAATAAACTTTTCTTGCTTAAGGATAGAAAACACCTTTATATAAAGCTGCAAAACTTTCAAAATGTTTAATTACTTTCATAGATTCACTAAATTTTTTTTGAAGCGCTTCCTCTTCACACTAAAAAATTTAATTGTCTAGCATTTTGGCAAAGAATGGTATTAGTAAATCTTCTCCTCTTAGGACATAGGTTTAAGCTTAGATGGTGCTACAAGTATAATGGTCTGTAACAGACTACCAATATAAATGGAAAAGGTCGTAGACTGTATATACTCTTCAAACATGCGTTAATACTCTATATCTATCAAATTGCCTCCCAACTAAGCATTTGATGCATTTTTAATCCTCATGTTCTTATTACTTTTTTATGTCATGTTAAATAGAATAAACGTAGTTAATGTATAATGTGGCACACGGTGACTTCTCACCATTAGGGTAGCTGCCTTCCTCTAGTCACCTCTTCTTTTCATAATCCTTCTCCCAGTGTACTCGCGACAAAGAGTCGCCATAGGCTTTTGCCTATATTTCCTTTCTGTAATGAGGTCATTCAAGGTTTTCTTGCAACTCACGGACTCTCTTGAATTTAGCCAACTGAGTGGCATGATTTCAATCAATAAGGACAACAAAAGTGCCAGCCACGCCCTATTTATAAGGGGACATGAACACTAAAAATCCATGGAGTTCATGTAATGAATATGAAAAATAAATGAATATTCATTTTGCATTGAATTCTCATGTTCTTTTTGCAGCACAACATTCAAAAAACAAGAGAATAAGGAAACTAATATGCATGCCAGAAATGCATTATCACAAATCTCAAAGAAATTCAATGGATCAAAAGATAAAAGTACGATTAAGGTTAACCTATTGAACGGAGAACATGAACCACGCCAGTAGAAGACTAAAAATTTAGTTGACCAGCAACTTATCACGAACAAAAGTCCCACATCGACTAGGTGTAGGGCCGAAAGCAGTATTTAAGTCCTGGGCTGCCCACCACCCCGAAGAACTCTTTTGGGAGGTGACAAGTGGTATCATAGCAGATTACTGCCTGCCAGGTGGGCGATTCTCCAAGGTCCAGTGGGACTCTCGGTGGAGCCGATCCGTGATGAGGGCGTCACGTGATTGGGTGGAGGAGAATGTCACAAACAAAAAGTCCCACATCGGCTAGGTGTAGGGCCGAAAACAGTATTTAAGTCTTAGGCTGCCCACCAACCAGAAGAGCTCTTTTAGGATGTGATAAACTGCTACCTTAGAGCAGGACTCAAAGCTGACTGTACGAAAATAGTTCGAGTCAATAAATTGAGACTTATCGAACCGAGAGAAGAAATCAATCCGGCTTTTGTCCCATACTGAGTTACTTTCTGCCTGACAACCTAGTTTCATCCCAGCTACATGAGTTTCTCATTTACGGATCGACAATCGATTGCAAGACCAAAATAGCCAACCGATCAAAGCTCAGAGTACTAAAGAATCACCATAGTTAACCAGCTATCCTAACTTAGTAGCATCGTCCGAACGAGCCTTTGCGACCCAAGTATTACATATCCCAATCAGTCGAGCAATACCATAACTGAACCATCACATCATTTATTTTCTATGTGTCTAAAATATCTTGTAACGCCCCCATAAAAGCAGAGGCAACTATTCAATTTTCACTTTATAACCCCTTGCATATAAATAATGGAGTTATTTCGACAGTAAATATGTTGATTAGATACGCTTAAAGGAACCAATTTCTTTTTGTACACAGATTCGAATTCAACAGATGTACAGATTAATGTTTATGTGATTTGTTTTTATTTTTTTCGACTAATTTAATAAATGAATCTATAAATTTTGTTTCAATTCTAATTGTTTATTTAACAAGCGAACGGAAATAGAGCTGTTCTCAAGGATGAAATTAAAATAAAAAGCATTATAATTGCTGCCTTGAATTCAGCGCATAAGAAATTCTAATGCCGGAAAATGCAAATTTGGAATTCTCACCAACTACGTCTTATCTAAACCTTGCTTTAAAGTCAAATAACATTTTTCCGTTTCCTGTACTTACACACTATCTTTCAGCTGATAAACCATACATTCTTCCATGGCAAAGTTCATTCGTCGATTCTCCAACTAACCTTACCATCCTGAACTTAGTTGTTGCTTCCTTCCAATTCCCCACCAAATCTTCAATTCTCATGGCCCGCAATTTCTCTTTCCGCATCTACTAACTTTTCAATGAGTCCATGTTAACTCCATTAATTACTGATTAAACCACCCATCCTCTGAACTCCCTCTGCTCTTCTCCTTTTTCCTCTCCCCTCTGCTCTTGATTAACATCATCTTCTTCTTATCCACCCCTCCATGGGCACCCCACAAGCATGGCCTCAATATACTGCAGGCAGAGACTGCTCCCTCGGTTTTTGCAGCGTCTACTGTCCCCAATGGTGCTTTTTCTACTTCCCCCCACCACCACCCCCCTCCCACTCCAATTTCACCCTCTCCCCTCTCCTCATCGCCATCATCGTCGTCATCTCCTCTGCCTTCTTCATTGTCACCGGCTATCTCATCGCCCTCAAATACTGCAACAACCACCGCCACCGATCTCTCATCTCACTTAACTCCGGCACCCCCTCTCCCTGGCTCCCCCCTTCTTCCACCGGGCTCGACGCCTCCGTCATCAATAAACTCACCATCTATCGCTACCGCCGGGGTGAAAACTCCATCATCAACGGTGACCGCGACTGCTCAGTTTGCCTTGGGGAATTTCGCGACGGCGATAGCCTCCGTCTTCTTCCCAAGTGCAGTCATGCTTTTCATAAGAGCTGCATAGACACGTGGCTAAGCTCACACTCAAACTGTCCACTCTGCCGTGCCGGTGTTATCGGTCCAGTTGAGCATACGATTGCGGAGAGTGAAGAAGAAGGTGAGCTTGTCGTTGATGTTGCAGCCGTTCAGGATTTGGAAGAGGAGAGGGAGTTGTCAGAGGGGAGAGATGGGGATGATGAAGATGTGGTAATTGAGATAAGAGAGGAAGCTTACGAGGTTAGGATGGCCAGTGAATCGTCGGAGGGGACAAGTACAGTTTCTATGAAGAGATCTCTCTCTTCTCGTAGAAGTACTGGAAGTCATTCATCGTGAATTTATGAAGAAACATGCTTCTTATTTTTGTTACCGTAAGCTGAATTTTCTTGCTGTATTGTTTGGTTTTTTTTTTTTTCTTTACATTTTTTGATGTAAGAAATTTATTTGTCACAAACGGCGTTCAGCTCATGTACAATTTCCGCGCTAAGACAAGCACTTAGAGGTAGTCGTGCGACTTAGATGGTAGCTAGGCTCAGTCATATAGGAAAATGACTAAATTAGTAGAGTTCATAATTTTCATTTCAGAAACTTATAACATACTTTTAAATTTTATTTACTTTTAGATATGAAAATACGTTTATATTCTTATAACTAATACGTTTATATGCCTTAATCTCAATTTTCCGATCTTATAACATTTTTCATGAATACGTATAAGTTGAACATATTTTATTTTCATTTCCTCTGGAATTGAAACTACGTTTATATGGCAAATGCTTAACTCGTACACATTTTTCACTTTTTATAACTTTTCGTCATGTATGTTTATGTTATATCATCACTGAAAATTCTGACTTCGATTGAACAGTTTCTCTAACTGAGAGAAATCATGAGTTTTTTTGGGGTATTTATAGAAGGGATGCCAGCTTAGATTCCATTAAAAAAAATAAGCATTAATCTTTGCAGGGAGAAACTCTTATTTGATCTCCCACGATATAACATGGAAGAGTAATATCGGTAATGATAATATATTATCTATATTTAATATTCATATTTGTAGTTGGTGATTCCATTATCATTTAACCATTGATGTTTACAATCTGGCATTCTTTTAAAAATAGAAAAATTTTATTGTGTGACCATCTAATCAAACTTGGTACAAATTTTTATTTTTTATGCAACCATAAATATAACTAAGTTAAGTGAATTCATAAACCAATGCCGAGAAAGGCTGGCACCTACCTGAGAGGTTAGAAATAAAGCGTCTTAGATATGCCAACTTCCCCTGAAAGGAACGTAATTGTTTCAAAGTTTTAGGGGGAGATTTGTGTTCTTTATAATGTTTTTTCTCACATCAACATTGATTTAACATACTCTTAGAATTTTCAAAATGTTTGGTAAACATACTCTTAGAATTTTCAAGATTTTAATAGATGATTTCATTTATCATAAAAAAATTAAAAAAAAATTATTAATGGTTATCGATTGTTCAATAAAAAATTGCAGGTTGTTTGGTAAACATACTCTTAGAATTTTCAAGATTTCAATAGATGATTTCTTTTATCATAAAAAAATTAAAAAAAATTATTAATGGTTATTGATTGTTCAATAAAAAATTGCAGGGAGTTGAAAAACAAATAAGCTTTGGGTGTTATTTGCAGCACTATTAGTTTTTAGGAGACAGTATTTATATTCGCCCCTTTTTAGATCACCATTTCCAAACACCCTCTGCTCAAAAAAGACAATGCAAGGAAAACTAAGATTGAAACTGGGAAAATATTAAGAAGAAAATAAAAACAATAAATATGGAGATATCTTGTGAGACGATCTTTGTAATATATACAAGAGAAGAACGGTCCAAAGCCAATTGGACGATACTCAACCCAAGTGATTAAATGAGAAATGCCTTACAAAAGACCTTCACATTAAAACCTGAGTAAAAAATTAAATATACTTGTTCTGGCTTCAAAGGGACCTCCCATGACAATGTATTCCCATGGTCAATTATAGCCTTTGGGATACCATGAAAACTCTTGAGGGGCTATGCTTTCTCTTACAACAACTCGTGATTAAGAGGTACCACGGAGGGTTTTATCATTTCTATATGAGAAACTGTTTTTCTAGGTTCTTTTTAGCACTCATAATTTTTAGTTTGTTGATTCATATGTTGTCGTATGATTCTCTTATTCAAATAAATCTCCCTCCCAAATCATTTATATAATTTGAAGAGGAGAGAAATCAAATAGAAAGAGATATACGATAACAAATAGACAAAAAAAAAAAAAGTGGAAGGCTTATATATAAGTAATCCTCATATAATGAATTGAGAGTAAACACCCAAACAAGATAGGATCAAAATACCTCGAAACACGATATTCACAAAGAGAACCCCTACTAAGCCATCCATAACCAAAGAACCAAAAAGAGCATTTTGTTTTTAGGTCAAGAATCTCCTAGAGGAACATATCCCTCGGGTTAATTACATTTTGGGGGATACCCAAGAATAATCTTGATAAAAAGAGTTTCACTTGTATTATCATAGACACATGGAAATAGGTCATTATAGGAAGGTTATTTCCATGTGAGAACACTCTGATGCGTCAAAGCTCTCACTAAACCATCAAGCAGAGAGTGACTTCTTCATATCCCAAAAGGGTAGTGGCTCATTGGCACACGAAGCCCATAAAATAACCAAAATCATCTTGATGGGGACATCCCAACACATCAAAGCACGTCCATGCCAAAAGGGCGGAGGGTAAATCGTCATATACCAAATGGGCGATAATTCATTGGCATTAGCCGTCATAATGATACCAACTGTGTAAAAGGAACGACAGGGCTCAAAGGGGCTCAATAACAAGAAGGGCAATGTAATCCTATAAGGTAGAGGTAGATGGGTTAGGGAACCACAAACTTGTCATCCGAGGCTACTAAGACCCTAATTCTACCTAGTCGTGGAGGTAGTCAACCCAATACGTCAAGAGATTCCCGGTTGGTAAACCTTGGATTTTTTCATCCAAGGGGATCTCGGTAGCCTTAAGGCCAAAAATGGGAAGCTCTAGTCCTATGACCTACTAAGTTGAAGCTTGAGAGATGGGACATAGACTCACCAAATAGATGGCAGAGTTTCCTCAAGAAAAGAGAAGAAAGGAAGGTTCAACTACAAAGTTGTAAATACTCACCATGAAAGGACTTACACTTGTTTGGGTTAGAAGCCATCTAACACTCGAGGCACACTAGACAACATCCTATATAAAAAGATATGTTGTGCTTGTTGAGTTGGAGAAGCTCGGGGGCTTCTCATCGGGACATGCAAATCTGAATGCAGTTATTTAGAGCGATCCTTAAATATTGTGGAGGCCCTTTTAATCATGATCGGGTTGTATTCATGCCTGCATCCCTTTTAAAATTTGGCCTGAAGGCCATGCAAAAAAATAAAAGTATAAATTTTACAGTCCTGAATATTATCATGAAAGATTTATTAAGATTTTATTGAAAATTTAGAATTTTAAATCCTAAAGGGCATATAATGCATTCGTGATTCTCAAACAAACTACAAAAATAAATATTTAAGCATTTCGAGCATTCAAAACATGCAATAAGGCTAGAAAACAAGCTAAATAATAAGAAAGGTTGGTGTCTCTAAGAAGGAAATATATCCCAAAAAAGAAAAAGGGGGGTCGGACATTTCATATACTTGTTGAGTCCTAATTTTGTACATGAATATCAAATGCAAAATTAAGATATGGGCACGAGCTACTACTCTTGAACCCCCCAACCAAGTGTTTCCCACACCAAAACACCATGGAACATGTGCATGTATCTTATTTTTGCTACAGGACATACCTAAGACTCTAAAAAGTAGATAGGAAAAAAAGAAAAGACTTAAACAGTATGAAAATAAGGTTAGCGTGAAAGTCATGCAACGTATAATGAGTCATGCCTAGTGGGGGATCTAAGAAGCACCTGCAATCAAAAGTGAGCATATAAATCATTACATGCGCACCCTTTTTATTGTACCTATATGTGTGCATATATATAAAGACACATCTCCCTGCAAAAGAACACCCTAATACACTACCTGCATATCAAGCATGCAAGTACACAAAAAGCACAAAGTTGGAAAGAAGTCTAACTAGGGCAGCCAAATTAGCAAAGAACAATATTCAGACATCAAAAAGACTACCTGACATCTTAGAAAAGTGTCATAACCGGTATCTAAGTGCATAGGATAAAGTCTCTAGCTATTTTATGACTTTGATAAAGTCGCCAAACCAGTCTCATTCTAAATATCTAAGGGATCTAAAGTATGTCACAAGAAAGGGGTGACATTTTAAAATAAGTGGCATGACATATGACCTAACTTATATAGGCTGCAGAGTATGGCGAATAATGCTTATAAAATAAAAAATATTAATTTTTAAGATTTTAAAATAGCATTCAATGTAATGCGGGTCCGTGACTCATATGATGTACTTTAAAGTCCTTGGATCTTTATCACAACTATACTATTTGTTGCTCGTAATACAAAAACTCGCTTTACTCACTTAGGCATCCATACAGGCAAGGCTCATTTGAGTATCACGACCAACAAATATGTCACTCTCCTAACAAGTAGGACAAGTCATTTAGGTTAATGGGTAAGCATACAATAATGCAAGAAGTCCACATTGTGATTGTTCAACTGAAGCATGAAAAAGTCACAATGGGGGCCAAAAATGACAAAACATACACAATGAAAACGAGTGCAAGGATGCTTCATGCAACATGATGAGAAAGAATAGGATATAGTGATAAAAATAGCCTACCTATGGAGAGTAATTACACCTGCCTAGAGACTCGGGGTGCCATGTGACTAACAGATTATAAAAGAGTTTGAATTGAGTGAAAGGATATAAATAAAAAGGGTTCACACCTTACTCAAGAAGCACTCATTGAGTAGACATGAAAACATGAAAGATATGCAATGACAAAGGGTGGGCATACCGTGAATGCAATAGCTTAATCGAAGAGTATGCAATGGAGATAGTGATATGAAGGGGTGGGTATGTCGTGAAGGCAGCGACCTGACAAATTGGTATTCTGTGAATGCATTGACTCAAAAAGGTAAGCATGTTAAGAAGTCAGGGACCCAAAATAGTGGGCATGTTATGAAGGCAGCCCCCTAAAAAATGGTTATGGCGAGGCGGTAGTGACTTGAAAGCGTGGGCAAATCGTAACGACAACAACTTAAAGAATGGGTAAGCTAAGAAGGTAGTAACCTAAAAGGGTGGGCTTGTCATGAAGGAAACAACCTAAATAATGCTTACTCCAATGAGGCAGTGAAGTGAAAGTGTGGGCATGCAATGAAGGCAGTGTCCTAAAGGATGGGCATGTCATGGAGGGAATGACCTGAATGGATGGGCATGTCTTGAAGGCAGTGACCTGAAGGGGTGTGTGATGACCCGAAGGGGTGTGTGATATGGCTTAGAAAATGCTTAATGTTCTTTCTCTTTTCCTCCTATTTATGGATGAAATTACACTTT